GGGGGGGGGGATTGGATTAAAACTAAGATCTTAATAAAACAAATAAAATCTAAATTAGAAAATAAAAATAAAATAGAATAAATAAAAAGAAATTTCTAGTTCACGGTTTCATCTACACCCTCGACTGACTCATCTAATCAATTCTGGTACCAAATCTCGTCATCTTATGAAATTACTAGCCCTAGGCAACGACACGGTCTGTTACCCGAATTTTTCCTTATTTTTAATCTAACCGCGAGATGCTCTACGATTAGATCTGACTTCTTGTACAGTCTAGAAAACGCTTCGTAGATTTAATACAATCAGCCGCTTTACGAATTAGAAAAATAGGCTAGACTAAGTAGTGACGCGTTCGTTCTCTTAAATAGGCCGTGTTATCCCCGGTAGTTACCATCTTCCGGATACCACTTACGAATTAAACACATCAACAATTACGGATTGAAAGTCTAATTCAGGTGTAGATATGTAAAGCCTAATCTAGGTGATCAATCTAAATAATACTCAACACATCATGGTTAATTATTCAAAATAACACAAACAATTCCAAAAAGATAACTCAATAATCAACTATAAATTAATCAAACATCGTCAATAGTAGGGTTCGACATCCCGGAACTAGAAATAAAAAACTACTCTAACATAATAAATAAAAATAAAAGGAAGAGAATAGAATTATCCTCTTTCGTGTGCGTGTGCGGCCTCCCTCCGCTATTGTCTGCTTCCTCGTCTGTCCGCTCTATGTCCGCGTATGCCTACTGCGTCTTGTGTGGCGGCTGTCTTCTCTTTCTCTCTTGTTTGCGTGAATAAGGGTTGCCCCCTAAATATGCCTGATGGCTGCTTATTTATTTCAAAGTGTTCATCCTTCACATTAAAATCGTTAGTGGGCCTACATGGCCTTTTAACTTTAATTATCTTTCCAACTTCAAGCCATTCCATGCGTGACTTTATATTCAGGCAAATGTCACCATGGGCCCACTATTCAATATAGGCCTTGATTATCCTTATTATGGTGCAACTTCCTCTTCAACGTACCGTCATCCATAAAAATAGCTCAATAGTCTGAAAATAAAACATAAAAATATCATAGCAATCAAATTTATCTAATAAATAAATAAGTCATAAAATATATAAGTGCGATAAAATTAATCATGTAAAAATACGCTAATAGATATATAAAATACACACTTTTCCCAACCAATCATTAAGATTATAAATTATATATCTAAGGATGCATTAATTATTTTTATTTTATGCATATTAATAAAAAATAAACATAGTAATTTTCAGAAAATTAAGATTAATTGATTGATAATCAATTTAAATAATATTTTTAGCATTCAATATTTTTTTTGAAAGGCACAAATATAAAGATCGATATTCTAAAACTTTTGTTATATTTTGAATTGAGATTTATAATCATAGAGATCAAGATTTTCAATAAATTTTAATGTTGTCTCTCTCTCTCTCTCTATATATATATATATAATAAAAAAATACCGGTAAATTTAGTTAAGAAAGAGAAAAAAGAATCCACAAATTTAAGGAAAGATCATTTTTGAAAAGGTTGGTTGGGAAAGATAATTTTTTTTTAAAAAAAAAAAACTAACACCAATTTACTTAACAAATAGTAAAAAAAAATAAAATTCAAGTATTGAAAAGATTACACGATTTTTTAATTGATTTGAAAAAGGAATCAAAATAAAATGAGTTGGATAAGACATAAATGGTGAACAGATTTTGGAATGAATTTGATTGGTGTAACCCATTCAAATCTCAAATTTTAAAACCAATTGGGACGTGTTTTTGTAACATATTCCTAATTAATTTGGACAAGGTTTCAAATTCCTAAATATTTTTTTTTTTAAAAAAAAGAAATATTAAAATAGTATGTAATAGATATTTTCCTAAATTTTTGGATTACTATTTTTAGTAAATAGTAATTCTTTTTTTATATATAGATTATACAATTTATTTATTTTTCTTTAAAAATACGCTTATATATATATATATATAATATGGTAATTTTTGTAATAAATTTGAATAAAATGTGTTACTTAAATATCTTGACAATTTAAAAATTCAAATGTTCAAATTAATTGATAAACAAATTATAAATTTCTATATTATTTAATTTTGTTTAAAATAATTTTAAATATAGCAAATTTTTTAGAAAATTGTATCAATCCTACGAGTTCAACCGACTGATGTTGACGGATTCAATAGCAAATATTTTATTCAAATGAATTAGACTGATTATAAACTGGTTCTCGGTTCATCTGGTCGGACTGTGTCCAACACGGTTTAATTTTAAAACGATAAGTAAATCTTGATTATTTTATTTGTATATTTAATTTATAACACAATCATAATATTGTTTTCTCGTGCATCACACAGACCACATAGTAGTATTTTCAATAGGCCATGTAAATTGTAATTAAAGTCATCACAATTCATCCCTCCACATCATTAAGTGAAACAAAAAACATGAAAATGATAAAGAAATAATAAAAATTACTTCCAAGTAAATTATATTTCTTGAGTACTAATTGCCCTAATTCTGCTGCATTTTTTTCTTTGCTCACATAATTGGGAGAATTCAACTAAGCAGTTCTTTTGGTTGGTTTCCTTATGGAACCAACCACCAATGAGACAGTGCCACATGGGGCTGTCCCACATGAAATGTGGGACAGCCCCATGTGGCACTGTCTTATTGGTGGTTGGTTCCATAAGAGAACCAACCATATAGTTTCTTAGCAAAATTGTTAAACTGAGTACTTTATTATCCATGGGAAAGTTTCTTCCTTCTCTAGAACCTCATTGTCTTCCCAAAATAAACTCTATCAATATAAAGGAAAACGCTCAGTCGTCCAAGTTATTCTAGCTGAGACTCTTGGTAGTGCGGTAATCGCACCAAATGAGCGGATGAGCATTTCGAGCTCGTATTTGTTTACGTTCGAATACTGATCGTGTTCGTTCGTTTATTATTTGTTAATGTTTTGTCAAAGTTTGAATTTCTACGTGTTAGAATAATATATGACACAAACTTTTTACATTAATTCGATTAACTCGAAATGTGTTCGTTCGAATTTGAAAATAAATAAATAAATAATCGATATTTTAAATTTGTCATTATAAATATAAATTAAATATACAAAAAATAAAATAAAATGATATTGAATTAACGTTCGCAAACGTTATCGAACGTTTGCGAACGAACTTATTTTTGTTTGATTATTAAACGGGCCTAATTTTCAATTCGATTATGCTAGATTAATAAACGAACGAATTCTTATCTGACACGTACATGAATTTTCATTGGCGACAAAGTGAATGAATTATAATAAGTAACAGATTATTAATATAGATTATAATTCAATTAAACAAAGCATATATATATAAGATAAAGTAGGAGCAGTTGAAACATGACTAGCAGAGCGAGATAAAGTTTAAGACTCCTCTCGATGGCTCCATCCTTCTCACTCACCCGTCCAATCTATCGGAAATGGTTCGCCGGATTTCCCAATTATCCGTTTGTTATCGCCGCCTTTCCCGACACAAAACCCATCATCCTCCTCATCATCTACTTGGCTTACGCTGCCGCCTGCCTTTGACGTCGACGCCAGCGGCGCCGCCACTAGGAGCTACAAATTCTACAGCCTCGCCGACAACGAAATCATAACCCTAAGTACCGGAAAAAGCAACAAAGAAAGATTATCTTGTGTGGATAATTTACGGTAACCAACATTGACGGAATCATTCAATCAACGGGACTGCAGTAGTTTCCTATATTAACAATCAATTACTTATTTAATGATATTTTTGAATCTCTGGAATGTAAACTGTTATGCTTTAGAAAGTAATGATTTAATTTATATTGAAATAATATTTAACATAAGTAATTAAAATTTATTTAATGTGACGAAAAATGACGTGAAATGATGATTAATTCTGTGAGTTAAATGAATACATATGTGAGCAGATGAATATTAAATTAGAATGAGTGGTATGATTGATTTTGCAGCAAAATATACGGGTGATAGAAGATTCATTTCGACTATACAAATTATCTAATTTTTAGTTTAAAACACTTATCACGAAAACTTATCAATGAATTACATAAATTCTTATTTGAAATTTCTCTATTTTATTTTCAATAATTCCTGGTAGAATGAAGGTATTTTAAACGAGAAACTAATCGAAAATGCTATCGAAAAACAAGCCGAAAAAATGAGTGCATGACTTATAAGCATTTCTGCATTCAGAAACTGTACTCCAACTTCATATAATAAGGTTAGTGAATCTCATGGAAGAACATAGTCCTTTCCTATACTTGGTTGAACATAGTTCTGTTCAACAATTTACAAGACACCGTCATCACAAGTGCAGCTCCGTATTATTGCACGGGAAATATAGCTGCGACTTTAAACTCCAACCGCTCGCAAATGCTCCATGCGTTCTCAACTGTAATGAACCAACACTCATTTGATGATGATATGTTTGGGTTTGTTCAATTAATTTTCATATGCATTTGAAGATCTCAACCATATAAAAAGCACTCATTCATTAGTAAATTACTAAACCAAAATCATCCACGACTTGGGAAGAACCACATAGGCCCTGGGAAAGTCTTTCTCAAGTTCTTAGCATCACACGGAAAATAGCATGGCGACACAGTCTTGTTCTCATAATTGAAAATGCCAATGTCATGGCCACCTGTTGGGAAATTGTTGTCAATCAGCACATCTTCCATTCCATCCGTGAAGTAAATTGAATTGGGTTTAAGCTCCGGGAACTCGGCCGCCGGCAACGCGACTGCGTCGCTGCAGAAGCCGACAAAAAGAGCCCAACCACCCAAAGACGAACCCTCCACATACTTAAAACCCCTATCCTTATGATCATATTTATGAACATCAAAATCAACAGTCACACACGGAAGTCCTCGTTCGAAGGCATAGGTATCCGGGTCATTGGCATCGACATACAATCCATCAAAATCAAATGAATCAACCATGTATTGAGTCACCACAAGAAGATCCTGCCCGGCCACTACCAGATGCTCCAGTGGAGCATTTGTCAGCCACATCTTCTTCTCTTTCTTTCTCCTCGGGTAGCCAAGATGTACTCTCGTGTGACTAACATCGGCTATCTTTACAAGCCTCGGTGACTGAGGGTCCCGAAGACTCCAAGCATCCAACACGTCGTTTGACGCCAGGCTAAACAATGCTTCGTGTCTTGTGGAGTAGACACAGTCCGTGTACCCCATTGCGAAGGACTTCCCCTTTTTTTCATCAAACCAGTGGTGATCTCCGATGCGGGTCCACTCCTTGCTCGACCCAGGGCAGCAGAAAGCCAGCCCATGATTGTTATTATAAATCATCACGGCCCGGCAATTCGGTCCGTCTTCGTCAGGGGAGCACGTGAGGATGACCTTGTATGCGGTAGGGTAATCGGTGGGTGGGAAACTCGGCAGGTCGGTAAGGGAAGGGAGGCTTATACGTCGACGGGAGATGGGATTGTAGAGAAACAGATGGCGGGTTCCGGGGCACAGCAAAGCTAGCCAGCCGTGTGAAGAGCCCCTAAACAACAAGGGGGACCATGGCAATTCTTCTCTTTCTTTGCTGCTTTTTCCGGTGGTTAGGGTTACGATTTTGTTGTCGGCGAGGCTGTAGAACTTGTAGCTCCTGCTGGCGGCGCCGCTAACGTCGACGTCAAAGGCAGGCGGCAGCATAAGCCAAGGAGATGAGGAGGTTGATGGGCTTTGTGTCGGTAAAGGCGGCGATAACACAGGCTCGGCCAACGCTCTCGTGCCTTTGGGATAAAAGGAGGAGTTAAATCTATAGCTAGAATATTGGGCAGAAGAACAAGATCCAGACGGAAATTTTCCGACAAATGGATGATTAGGAAATCCGGCGAACCATTTCCGATCGATTGGACGGTTGAGTGACAAGGATGGACTGAGTGACAAGGAAGAAGCCATCGGTAGATAAAACTTCGAAAGTGAGAAGAGGCTCAATCAAGCTGTGTCTATGTTTCTGAGTGAAGCATTCTACGCCGAACTACTTCTGAGTGGGCTTTTAGCACTGCTTGTGAATATTCTAGGCCCAATTTATGAGTTTGTTTTTGTATGATTCAACAATGTTTTTATTATCTATTAAGAAAATATACAAAAATAGTATGTAAGTTTCTCGCTCATTTTTCATTTTTTACCAATAATTTTTATTTTTGAATTTTTTTGAGAAAATCTCGCCCATGATTCTTATTCAAATTTTTTGATTTTTTTTGAAAAAAATTAATTCAAAAATTTAAAGGAACGATTAATTACAAGTAGATTTTTTTTTGGTACATTTCGTTTTATCTTAATTTCCATATAAACACATTCCTAACAACTAATTAGTATAATATTTTTTTTATCCAAGTTATCTAATCAGGTATTTTAAGATATAATTAATATAATATTTTATTTAATTAATTATACTATTATTCTTATGGATATAATTGCTAACATATTAATTATTATAGATTTTTTTTAAAACAAATTGAATTATCATACTTTTTACTTTATATGAAATCAAAAATTACATATTTTAATATAATAATAAATATTTATTACATATTTTTCCTTATGTGATATAATCTAAATTCGGTATTAAAATTTTAAATTCAAACATTTAAAGAAAAAGATCCTAAACAGATTTTTTTGGGTAAATTTTATTTTATCTTGATTTTCGTATAATCATATTTTTAACAAAATAATTAATATAATATTTTTTATCTACATTATCTAACTGATTTTTTATAATATAATTAATATAATATCTAACCAGATTTATCTCTTAACAAACTTGCCATTTTTTAAATTAAAATGGTATGATTATTCTTACGAAGATATTTAATAATATATTAAACATTTATAAACCTTTTTTTTTTAAAAAAAAGATGAGTTATCCCTCCTTTTACTTTATTTGAAATTATAAGTTATATTTTTAAATATATTATTAATTATTTTTTTACGTGTAAAAATTTATTGTTTATTATCTAAGTGATAAATATTATTGATTTATCTCTTTAATAAATTTTTATTATTTATTTTTTTCCTTACATAATATAATCTAAATTTGGTTATTAAATTTTTAAATTCAAATATTTAAAAGAAAATATCACAAGCAGATTAGGTAAATTGTATTTTATCTTGATTTTCATATAATCACATTCCTAACAAAGTAATTAATATTTATATTTATGACAATAATAAAATAGTTTTTAATATTAATTAGAAAAATAAAATTATTTATAAATTAATATATTTATACTTTAAGTAGTAATATGATATAAGTAAAAAATTACTATAATATAACATATTTATTATTATTATTTGTTGACGAGCGTTTTCGGTCAACGGTTGAGATGTTAAATGTCGAAAATGAAAGATTGAAAACAAAAGGATGACTCGGTTTAATTATGATTTTATTGAGCGATCACGAGGTCGGCCTCTCGTACGAAGTCGGCGCTTGCGATATACTTACAATCCTTACAATGAGTTTCTTACAGTTTTAGAGAGAGAAAGTAGAGAGAAGGCAGAGTTAGTTGAATTTCAACAACCCAAAATAAATGAAATGAGCTGCTATTTATAATAGTCTTTAATGTGGCACTATTCAGCTACTGTTCACCGGTCTTGTCGCACAGTGATTTTGAAAAGCAGTCCGACGTCCGTCTAACATGTATTTAATGCGATTTGAGTAGACTTGTCAAAACGGGCCGGCGGGGCGGGCCGGCCCGTAGCCCGCCAAAACCCGCCTTTTGGCGGGGCGGGGCGGGCCGGCCCGCCTCCCT